AAAGTTTGGCTTTAGGGAGAATATTTCTCTCTAAGATGTTAATGTGTTTTGGGCTTGAAGTTTATAGAGTGTGAAGGAAGCTGAGAGAGTGGGGGAATTTGAGTCTGAGCTCATGGCAGGGAGGCAAGAAATGAGTATCTCTGAAAAGAGAAATACCACTATCGTGGCTAGTTTTTGAAGCTGCAGTGTTGTTAACTGAACTTGTTTGCTTGTAGCATGGGTCCTCTTTGGAGTGTGCTCTTTAAATTATTGCAATTATAAAGCTTTACATGCACAACACAAGTGCACTATTTTTTCTCCTGTATGCTTTGTTCAGGTACCATCATTGATAATCGGGTGTCAGGCACAGCAGAAGAGAATGAAGTGGGTTCTATGGCAGGTGAAGGCTTCATTGAGGTTCTTACTAAAAAGCAGCGTCGTTTGCTGGAAGAGGAGCGCAGGAAGAAGGAACAGGCTGCTCAGGTGAGGAATGGGAAGCAGGAAAAGTTGGACCTGTTACACTGTTTGGATAGCAGTCAGAGAAACAGGACCTCAAAAAAGTGTTTGGATGAACAGAAAAACACAGTTGGCTAAAGTAGTAAAGATCCTGTCTTAGGCCCCAGAAGCATAGTTAGGCTCTGATGGCAGGGGCTGTTGGTCTGAAAAAGAGGGTTTGATTTCTGACTCTTCTTGGCTTCTGGCAGAATTGTTAATTGGGAGTTAAGGAGGGGTTTCTAGAGTGGTCTTCATTCAAAGCAACTGGGCTCAGTAAGCCAGCTGCTTGCTGTAGTTGATGGGATTTTGGGCAGCATGAACAGTGAGGGACTTCGGCACTCTCACTGTGTTATTGCTATAAAAAAAAAATGCATACTGCTGAAGGCAGCTTTCTTCAGGGCCTTGTTAGACTGGGGGAACCTCCCAGTCTGACACCTGGGCCTTTCCTGTCGCAGGCACCAGCTAAGGCCCGTGTCCTTCAGTCTCGCATTCCTCCTCGGTTTGCTAAGAAGCAGAACAGCCTGTGCTTGGAGCAAAGTGATGTAACAGTGTCTGGAAACAGCCTGGGCACAGAGATCTGGGAGAGCAACAGCCCAGGTAAGTTTGGGTCTGTTTGTTCCAAAGGGTTTCACAGAGCTGGGGAATCCTCTGGGGTGTACAGAAAGGATGGGGTCCATGCTTGAGAGGAGACAGCCCTCTCCTATCTGATGCTGGAAGTGGGAGGGGAGGTAGCAGACATCTGGAGTAGCATCTGTTCTAAGCTGTACTGTTCAGCCATCCTCCTTCTCTGTTGACTGTGTTAGTCTCCTAATCTATTTCTTTTTTGTGTCACATCAAGATTCTACAATACAGCATTTTCTAGCCAGTTGGGCTGGATCTCCTTTAGCTGTTTTCTTAGTTTGCCTTCCTGCATTTTCTCATCTCTAGCCCTGGATAGCTGGTGCCTCCCTTGTTTCTGTCTGTCCTGTCTTTCTCCTGTTGTCATCATGTTCCCTAAGAAATCTCCCTGTTCTCTACCCTCACTCCCCATACCCTGTATTCTCTGCTGCATCATGTCTCAGATGTCTGGGCAACACCAACTTTCTGAGGTGGTTAAAATACCCTTTCTCATGTCTAGAAATGGAAGGTTAATGGTGTAATATGCGCAGTGTACATGGTGTGCTCACAGTTGTTCCGAGCAGCTGAGCCCTGCCCTCCATTCTCTTCCAGCTCTTTCCGTTCAGTCTCCTGGCAGTGATTCCTGGAGCAAGCCTGTAAATACCTTTAATGGCACAGAGTCTGGCACCACTGAGGTAAGTGGCATCTAATGTGCCCTTCAGGTATTGTGTGGATAAAGTATTAATGCAGGTGGCTTTTATGCGTTTCATTGCTCCATCTGTGCTTAGTGACTCTCAGCTCTGCTTGTGCCATTTTAAACTGTCTCTTTGCAGTTATAACTTGAGCTTGATGCTGCTCAAATCTTGACCCCGAGGGCCAAGCGCTGCTTGGTGTTACATGTGGGTATAAATCTGGAGTAACTGTGTGGTAGAGCTATTCCAGGGTTATGCTCATCACTGGATGCAGGCTATGGTTGAGGAGGATGGAATCCCATAGGTCCTGTTTGTGCCTCATGCCTACGAGCAGTGTGTAGCTGTAGGGAGGGCAGAGGAAGGAGGTTCCTGAATGCTTCACCTCTGGAGGCCAAGAGTTCAAATTTGCTGTGGGTCACACATGAAATGAGTTTGGCAGTGCCCTCCTAGTCTCTGTGTGTGACACTTTTTCCTTACTCTGAAGCCATGGCCTGTTTGTTGCATTGGTTCACTGTCTCAGGGGCATGTAGGGCTGAAGCAGCGGCCAAGGGGTGCTGCAGGTCAGGCCCAACTCCCTTGCAGTTTACCAAGAGCGTGATTTGAAAGGGGGACGTGGTCTTGCTGTTTTCTGGGATATTTTTTCTCCTTTGTGGAGCTGGGTCGGAGTCCGGGGCTTTAACACATCTCGTGCTTTGCATAGCAGGGATTTAAAGGCAGCCAGGGGGATAGTGGCATTGACTTGAGCGCGGAGTCTCGGGAATCCTCCGCGACCTCCTCTCAGCGCAGCTCTCCATATGGCACCCTCAAACCAGAGGAGATGAATGGGGCTGGCCTGGTGGACCCAAAGCCTGACTGCCAGAAGGAGCAAGTGCAGAAGCAATCTGATAAAAAGGTAATCTGGATTTGCAGCCAAGCCAGAGCGCAGAGTGAGAGACCTTGTGAAGTGGTTATGTTGTTCTTGATAGCATTTTTTAAGGCTTGAGATGGGGTTATTCAGTCTTTGTGTCTCAGCCTCTCTGCTTTCCTGTTAAGGATTCAGATCAAGGCTCAGGACAGAACAAGGAACACAAGCCCGGACCAATCGGCAACGAACGCTCCCTGAAAAACAGAAAGGGTTCGGAGGGAACGGAACGGCTGGAAGGGAATATTCCCCCTGTTAATGGGGTGGAAATTCACGTGGATTCTGTACTTCCTGTGCCACCCATTGAATTTGGAGTAAATCCTAAAGTGAGGATTGAATTTTAATTTTATCTTCTTGGTGATTTGAGCTTGTTGAGACATGAAAGATGGTTTGAGGCAGAAGGATTATTTAGAGGAAACATCCAGCTGTAGATTTGCCTTAGAACTTCATTGCTGGTACAAACCAGGTACTCAAGGTGTCTTGGGAAACACCACTTGGAAATACTGTCCCAAGGACCAACTGGGGTGGTAACAAAGGTGAGGGGAAAAATTATGGCCATCTGAGCCTCCATGTGCCTCTAGGGGTTGCTTGCTGCTGAGTGCTGAGAAGTGTCTTCTGTTCTCTTCCAGCAAGGCTTTACTGGAAGACAATCTTTAGTTTGTAGTGCCATGATTCAAGATAGAGTCATTAACCATGAGAAGTGGATGGGTGGGCCCATGGACCTGGATTTGAATTTTGTGTGTTTTGCTTTATCAGGATTCTGACTTCAGCTTGCCACCTGGTTCTGCCTCTGGCACTGCAGCTAACCCTGTCACCAAATTGCAGGATGCCTTGGCCAGTAATGTAAGTATTTCTTCTTTTTGGCATTGATTCATTGGAGATGCTCTTTATTTAAGCCTCAGTTGCTTTCAAAGGGAGCAGATGCATTTCTGCAAATTAAAGTTACTGGATCAAACTGATGTTTAAGTGGAAGCTGGTATAATTCAGCATAGAGGGATGTCCTTGCACAGAACCAAACCTTCATTTATTCTGAGAGCAAAATGGATCACAGTTGAATGTGATACTTGACTGCTGCAGTAGCACTGGGGATTGAATCCTTTGAGGTGTAGTTACAGGAGCTGCCAGCTGAGGCTCTGCCAGCCTTGGTGGCTCATGACATCGTCCTAAGAGTTCACAAATATTCACCCTGCACAACTCTCCCCCCAGGCAGCGTTAACGCAGTCCATTCCCATCCTGCGAAGGGATCATCACCTCCAGCGCTGCATCGGCCTGAACCCCATGTCCTTCCCCACTGCAGACCTTACTCTTAAGGTAAGCAAACTGGCATGTGTGCTTGGCCTAGGTGTGGATCTCCGTGGGCAGAGCAGTGAGGGTGGAGAGGTCTTTCCCAGAGTGTTCTGTTAAGTATTGATAAACCTTTAATTAGCTCCTGTGAAAGTTGTGCATATCTGCTATTTGATATGAGTGCAAGGCCCTCTCTTTCAAGTCCTGGATGCTGAAGTCCTTGCTAATTGTAGAAGAAGTGTAATAGAGCTTTCCTACTATTCCAGTAGCTGGGTAGGATGGCTGGTCAGTGATCCTGAGTGACTGATGGTTTAAAGAGGGGGAAACAAAAAAACAAACAAGCCCCACCCAAATGTACAAACAACAGCAACAACAAAAAACCAAATAAACCGGAACACATAACTCTACCATCCCAAACCCAAAAAGCTCAGCAAATACCAAGGGGTTTGAGTGTTTGTGAAGGATGCTTGTCCATTAGAAACTGGTGTGGTACCCCTTGACCTGAGACCTGCCAGCTTTCTGCTGTGACTGGACAACAATGAATTTGAGCTCATAAGTCACAGGAGCAACTCTGGGTTTTGGTATCGTCCTCCCCATTTGAACTGTCTGTAGTTATTGTCCTTCATTTCCGTAGATGGAGTCTGCTCGTAAAGCTTGGGAAAACTCTCCTAGTTTACCAGAACAGAACTCCCCAGGAGGTGCAGGCTCAGGCATCCAGCCTCCTTCCAGTGTTGGAGCTTCCAACGGCGTCAGCTACAGTTCTTTTGGTGGAGTTTCTATGCCTCCCATGCCTGTGGCATCCGTAGCACCTTCTGCATCTATTCCAGGTACCTGCAAACTGCAGCAGCAGCATTTGCATTGTCAGGGTGGTATCTGGGAATCACCCTCTGAACAGAAGAGCTTCCATGTAAAGTAACTAACTGGCTGGTGTTAAATAGGTTCTTAACAATTCAGCCAAGACAGAAAGAGGAACTGTCTCTCCACTTTGAAGAATGTAGAGTGTGACTGGTACAAACTTAGCACAAGGACAACTTACCCTGTGTAGTGGCAAGTCTCTCTGATGTCTCAATAGGTCTTCCTTACCCTTACCCCTCAGTAGAATAGAAGGGAAGAGACCTATGGCTGAGAGACTTCCAACAGTCCCAATATCAGTATCAGCCATTCCTCTGCTTCTTTTGCCATTGAAGGCACAGGTTCTGAGCACCTCCTGCTCTTCATATCTAATAAGAATTGCTTATAGTTCACAGAACTCTGGGAGGTGGGAGGGTGTTGCTGTTCTTGAGTTAAAGGAAAAGGTTAAGCTCAGTCATGTTAGATAGTGTGTATAATTAGGGAGAGCATCTGGGAAGAGGAAACCTACTTGGAATTTCTGACTCCTGGGTCCCAAAGGGCTTCTCATGTGTGCACTGACTTTCTCATGTCTCACTTCAAGAACAGAGTGGAATGTGTAGTGACTTTGTTATTAGCTTCCATTTAGAAAACAGATTGTTCCAAGTCAGGTGGCTTCCCTCCTCACCCACTCTAATCTTGGTTCTAAATCCTGTGGTTCAGATCTGCAGAGAACCACAGGAGTGGCACAGCAGTCACTAACTGGTGCCACCCTTGGGGTGAACACAGCTTTTAGATCTGTTGTGTGAAGGTCTCAAACACCATGTTTGTTTTTTCTGTCCCTCCCAGCTGCAAAGATGAGGTGATTGCAGAGCAGGTTTCTGACATTTAGGAACAGCTTGGAGTGCAGTTCACCAATTCCTGAACTGTTAGTGTCTGACTCTTTTGTGGAGGTGGAAAACCTGGATACTGTGTATTGACTTGCTGAGAGGTTGGAAATAGCCTTGACCTGCAGGTTTCTAGAGTGTGCCTGTATCTCCCCTGTACTTTGAATTTACAGCCTGCCTTCTCTGATGTTCAGGTAACCATATTCCACCCCTGTATCTGGATGGCCACGTGTTTGCAAGTCAGCCCCGCCTGGTCCCGCAGACGATACCTCAGCAGCAAAGCTACCAACAGGTAAGGGAGCAACACAGCTTGCAGATGGTTTTTTGAGGAGTCTTCAGGGTGGCATTTAAGAAATTAGGAGCCATTTATCTGTCTCATAGCCCAGAGGAGCTTGGATGTGGCTCCCTTTAGGTTCCTTGAATGCTGCTTCCCAGTGCATGTCAGAGTTAGGGAAACTGAAGGGAGGGAGTTGAGGAGTTTTCCCCCTTTTGTACCAGTGCCCTTGGACTGGGTTTAACTGAGGCATCTGTGTGAGGTGAAGTGATTTTCAGTAGATTCCACAGCCAGTCAATACTGATGAGTCATTTCACTAGTAAATAGGATGTTGATAGTGTTGGGAGAGCCCCCTTCAAGGTAAGAGTGCAGGCAGGTGAGAGCTGGGATTGTCAGTGCCCATCCTGTGTGTGGAGCATGTTGGTTCCCTCCTATGTCCATCAAATGCTTCCTTCAGGCATCAACCTCTTGGTGCCTCTGCAGTGTTTTCCCTGGCAGAGTGCTGCAGTTGTGTGGAATGATGCAGGGGCTGGGTAAAGGCACAGGGTAGGTAATTTTCAGGCAGATTGACTCATGGAGAAAACTGATGGATTTTTAACAGTCTAGGACAGTTTCTGGCTCCTCTTGTACCTCTTAGTCATACTAATTTCTTCTGCAGGCTGCTGCTGCTCAACAGATTCCCATTTCCCTCCACACATCCTTACAGGCCCAAGCTCAGCTTGGGCTGAGGGGTGGTCTGCCTGTTTCCCAGTCCCAGGAGATGTACAGCTCCATACAGCCCTTCAGGTAACTGCTTTCAGTTTTCGTTTCCTTGTGGGTTGCTCTCTTATGTTCCTGATCTCTGTGTGCATTGATCAGATAATCCACACTCACCTTTTCTTTCCTCTTAGTTGATGTTTCCTTTCACCTGGGCAGTGTTAATAGGGGAGAGCATGAGCATGAGGGTGAAGTATCAGTGCCTTCAGTGCCTCAAAAACCTAAACACTGAGGTTTAAAAAAAAACTTTTTTTTTTTTTTTTTGCTAAGAATTTTGGAATCTTTAATTTCTGATTTTTTTTCTGCTTTGCAAAACTGCTGCAGACTTTAACTGCTACTCCAGAGGTTGTTGTGCAGGATATTGAAACATAAATTTTGGATACTACACAATGTTGTTCTGTTGAATATTCCTGCAACACAAGGACACGGTTGTAAAGTCTTAAAAGTGGAAATAAAAAAACCCTTGTAACTAAAATGGAAAGTGGTATCGCAGCTTATTTCCAAGCTGTCAGTTTAGTAGTCTGAGATCTGATGGCAGGCCAGATTTGTTTTGGCAGGGCGTGTTTGTATAGTCTCCAAAACTTCTCTGCATAATGACTTGAGCATGTATCTCTTCTGCAGGTCTCAGGTGTATATGCACCCCAGTCTGTCTCAGCCCAGCACCATGGTCCTGACAGGAGGCACTGCTCTGAAGCCTCCATACTCTGCCTTCCCAGGCATGCAGCCCTTGGAGGTGGTGAAAACCCAGTCTGGGTCCCCCTATCAGCCCATGAACGGAAGCCAGACACTGGTTTATGAAGGGCAGATAAACCAGGCTGGTATGGGAGCCTCCCAGATGATGGACTCTCAACTCACCCAGGTTAGGAGCAGGGCTGACCAGCCACTCTGTTGTCCAGGCTTTTTCACAGCCACTTGTCTCTGAGAATGGGTTGAAATGGTATTTGTCCTGATTCATGTGTCTGTGTGAACTGAACTCTTCACAAAGAGGCAGAAGATTTCCCTGAGACACTCTGTTCTGTGAACCATTGTTTCAGACCTGCAGCACCTTATTTAATGAGATTCCTGCTAATACCTTGTCTGTCCCTGCTGAGATGTGATTTTGTAAGCTGGGAGTCAAACCTTGCAGTGCTGCCTGTATAGCAGGCCATGGTTGCACTAGTTGTCCTAAAAGTACCTCTTCTGAAAGCCAAATCCCAGTCATCTCCATGTTTAACTCAGCTTCCAGAGTAACTAGGAACTTGTTTTAAAGGCTCATCCGTCTTCTCAGTTCATTTCTTATCCAAGTCTTATTTACAACTTCTGCTGATCTGTTTGGCAGAAACTTAACAAGAATTTCAATGTGTGAAAAGTTTTTCTGAAGCATGGTTCACATAAAGACATTGAATCCTACTGTGAGCTTAACTGTGTTTGTGGACATGTGCTGCGAATTCTGGAGAAGTTTGATTCTTTTATTAAACTCATCTTAACGTTTGTTTTGTGCAACATGTTAAGGTTTATTTTTTGTTTCAGAGGGATTTTTATGTTGTGACTGACGTAAAGAGTTAATCCTGAAAGTAACTTAGGTGAGGAAAATACAGAGAATACTGGCAAACTAAATATTTGAAGAAATGGTCTATCAATCATAAGCGAGTAACTTGATCTCTTTTGCCAGCCTTTGTTTCATATTTATTGATTCCAGAATGTTGTCTTAGAAACTCCCAAATCCAGCAATTGTGAGAAAATCAGAGGGAACAGGAGACAGTCCTGAGCTACATTATTTTTTTAATTACTCTTAATTGCTACCATCATTGGTTTGAAGCTCACTGCAAAACATAGAGCTGAGCTCCCTGTCACTTTTTGGGGATTGAACCCCAGAGAGTGTTTTGGTGTGAAAGTATAGGAGACTTTCTAGTTTGGGCAGCAAAGGTGCAAACAAAATGCGTGACCTGAGCTGTCTGACATTGCCATCGTATCAAGGGAAGATACACCCGTACAGTGACCACGAGGAGGACTGGGAAACTGGGCTCTAGGCAAGGAGGAAAGCCCTGTGTCCAAATGCAGTTATGTTAACTTAATGGCATGTTAAAAGCCCAGCTGATAAGGGTGTTGGCAGCGCTGCCAGAACATCCATTTCAGTGTGAAAGTCCCTCTTTTAGTGATTTGTGCTTATTCTGTGCCAGACTGCACTGCTTGGGAGCTTCCTTTTTGCAGTGCTGTGCTGATTTCAGGGTGTTGGGAGGCAGTGTGTCAGACACAAGACTGTTGCTGCCATTAAGGTAACTGCGTGTCCTTGTCACACAGCTGACAATGCCTGTGCCTGGCTCTCAGCTCCCTCTGCCCCGCTACGGCTCTGGCCAGCAGCCCCTGCTTCTACCACAGTCCATCCAGCTTCCTCAGGGGCAAAACCTGCCTGTGGGAGCTCCCCGAAGAATCCTGCCTCCTGGATCCCAGCCTTCTGTCCTTGCTGCCAGCAGGGAGGTAAGGATTAACTCCTGGTGCTCATCGGGGCATTCAGTAACCCCTTCTCTGTTGAAGTTTTGCTCCTCATTAAGGGGGAGAACGGCTTGTTTGGGATCCTTAAACATCCAAGCCAAGGATTGGTGTTAAACTGAAGGAACCCTTTACCCCACATCTCCAGCCTGCAGGCCAGCAGCTTTCAGGTTTTGCTGCTGGTCACCATTCTGTTTCCAGGGAGCCACATCCTGCCTTGATCCGGTTTGGAGTCTCCAGTTTTATTACATGTTTACACAGGTTTCCCCAGAGTGCTTGAGGGGTGGTGAGCTCCAGACACAGTTGGAATACTGCCCAGATATTTCACTCTGTTGTGAAGCTTGTCCATTTGAGTAGGTATATTAATGTCATGTCTGGTTTGATGGATTCGTATCATAAGTTTGTCTATTATAGGGGAGAGAGAGCATAGTAATTAACTTCCAGGTTCTGTATTTGCTTGTGCTGCTGGCTTGGTGGTTTAATACAGATTATTTCACTTACAAGCCTCACTTTCTTCACCTGAAAAATATTTCTTTTAATGGGCACGATGGGGAGAAGGGCAAAGATTTGGCTTAAGTGTTTATCTGAAGTAACAAGTGAGTTATGAATGCAAAGATGATACTCTCTCTCACTCATTTTCCTCTGTAGTCCTCCCAGATGGAAATGAAAGGGTTTCATTTCTCCGATGGTAAACAGAGTATGTCCTCTGGAGGGTCTGTACCATCACCACATACCTACAGGTGAGATGTTAACACCACTTGGGCTCTGTAGTCAGGATGGGAGAGAAACAGCGTCCCCCTTTGCAGGGATGTGGTTTATGTATCATCCCTGTACAAGATCCACTTGGGTTTTCAGGTGTGGAGTGTGCTTACTGCAGTCCAAATACTTGTAGCAAAATGCACGATCATGACTTCCA